TGCCTGGTTTTGATATTAGAGTGATGGTGGCCTCATAGAATGAGTTTCGGAGTATTCCCTCCTCTTCTACTTTTTGGAAAACTTTAAGGAGGATGGGTATTAGGTCTTCCCTAAATGTTTGATAAAATTCAGCAGTGAAACAATCTGGTTCAGGGATTTTATTCTTAGGTAGTTTTTTGATTACCAATTCAATTTCGTTGCTGGTAATTGGTCTATTCTGATTTTCTGTTTCTTCCTGGATCAGCCTTGGAAGGTTGTATTTTTCTAGAAAGTTGTTAATTTCTTCTAGGTTATCTAGTTTGTTAGCATATAATTTCATAGTATTCTCTAATAATTCTTTGTATTTGTGTGGTGTCCATAGTGATTTTTCCATTCTCATTTCTGATTCTGTTTATGAGTGTAGACTCTCTTTTTTTCTTGATAAGTCTGGCTAGGGGTTTATCTATTTTATTTATTTTCTCAAAGAACCAGCTCCTGCTTTCATTGATTCTTTCTACTTACCTTTCTTGATAGTAGAGATTCCCAGCCCAATTCCTGACCAATCTAAAATGTGAAAAAAGACCACAAAACACCTAAATGATAGGAAAAATTCTTCATTTCCTGAATCTTAGAGTTGAGGAAAATTGATGTGGACTCCTCCATGCATGCTCTACCGTACATGCTGATGGCTTTTGGTGTGAGCCACCAGCCCTTAACCTATGCTTTGACAATTTCAGGGCTGGGGATCACAACTACTCTACTTTTCTTGCATTGACCAACAATACTATGGTCTTCCTTTCATTAGGTTAAGATTTGATTATAAGTTATCATTAGTCTTCATTCCCTTCCACAATCCCATGGAGGAAGTTGGATGACTCTTCAGATAAATTCTCTTAGTTATTATGTGTCTCTGAGTATCTCAGCATGGTTACTGCCTCCAGTTCCTCCTCATTCCTGTAGTAATCTGCATTTTGTCTCCTTAGCTTTGTAGAAATTTATCTTTGAAGGACATTAATGTCTTTAAAATTCTCTTAATCAGTCTTCAGGCTTCTTCCCATGCTGTAGCATAGGTAGACAGAAACTGTGGTGGGAAGAGGGGAACCTAAAGCTGACTTGTGGGTCTAGAACTTGGTTGAATGGGGTTTTGGGCAATGTTCTCAACAAAAATAGGGATTCCACAGAAGAAAAAGGAAATATATAGGCATTGATATAATATTGATGTCACCCCTTCTGTCTTGACACTGTCCCCCTTTGACTCCCAGACTCAAAGCTCTCTGAGTTGCCTTCCAATTTGTCTAATTGGCCTTCCCCACCATTACTTCTTTTATTCTTTTGCTTCTATGAAAAAGACCTTCCTTAAGATAATGTCCTCAGACTACCTCTCTTTTCTCTGTCCTTGCTTCCTTGGCAACCTTACCTGATTTCACAGTTTCATTTATTATTCTAATAGGCATATCCCCAAATCTCCATCTCCCTTTCCACCCTGACTTATCTACAGCTTCATTTCAAGCTTCCTGATGAATATTTCCACTCAGATATCCATATACCTCTTAAAACTTATGATATCCCAAACATGGTTTCATCCATAACCTATTTCTTTTCTGGAATCCCTATTTTTGTTGGGGACATTGCCCCAAACCCCATTCAGTCAAGTTGTAGATCCACAAATCATTTTTCGGTTCTCCTCTTTCCACCACAGTTTCTGTCTACTCTCTTTCTATAGAATCTCTTATATCTACCCTACCCCCCAAATCCATTTCCATTGTTTCAACTTAATTCAGGCCCTGTTAGCCTCTTGCTGAACTGTTGGGATAGTCAAATTGGCGTATCTGTTTCCCACTTCCAACATATAACACTGGCTGCTTCCAGATTGGAATGGAGTTGCATCTTATGTGGGGCTTAAGTTTAAAGTCATTGCTTAAGAAGAAAAACCCATATAGTCAACGTTACTCTTGAAAATGCCTTATGTTGTCCACAAAGTAGAATCTGCACACACACTGCTTCTCAGTAAGTTCAACATTGCCAATTTTTCCTCCACTTTTGGAACAGATCACTTTTCTTTGGTTGAGTACCAGATGAAGTCATCTGCTTGATTTTAAGGATCATCTAGTATGAAAAATATGTTTCTTTAAACACCAGAATCACATTCAACCCTAATCTATTTGAATTCATATTAGTTACTCATGAGTGTCATACAAATCCCCTGGAATGTCTCAAAGCACTGCTCTGATCCTATTATTTCTGTGCTTAAAAACCTTGAGTGGCTAGCTACTCCATTTCCTATCAGCAGTGCCCTTTCTCTAGCCTGATACTCAAAACTGTTTACCATGTGGCTTCAACTCACTTATCTAATACAGTTTCCATTCCAAAATGGAATGCCTGTCACTCCCACACATGCTTTGCACATTCCAGTCTCCATCCACACTGTCTCTCACAGGAATCCCACTGCCTGGGATACCTTCTCCTTACTCCCCATTTCTGCTGGGCTCAGCCATTCCTCAAAGATCAACTCATATGCTGCCCCTCCTAAAATTCCTTCACAGAGTCTTCTCCTCCAACCCAGCCCAGCCAGAATTCTACTTCCTACCTTTGACCTGCAATAGATCTTCGTTTGTACCGCTTTTATGACAGGTATTTTCTATCTTGGACTGTCATTTCTGTTAATTTTTTCTGTGACTATAAAAACGTTATGGGCAGGGTTAATGCCTGAGTTCTTTATATTTTTACATTCTTTTACCACCATCTTCATCTTAAAGCACATAGTTCTCAACAGGTACTAATAAATAAATAAGTAAAATAAAGGGGCTTCCCAACTGCTCCCCATGTAGAATAGAAGGGCTTCCCCCGATGTGCTCTAATCTGGCAGTGCCTTTGTACAGTTCTTCAAAAAAGCAGCCACTCTTTCTCATCCTAGGAGTGCTTCCATCAGCTAAGGAATGAACTCAGCAGGAAGGCAGATGGCTAAGAAGGTATATACAAATGGTCAAGCTCTTTGCTTCTGTTATTTGATTTAAAAAACCCAACAAACCTTGGAAATTAGCAATGCAGTGGCTTTTGCATAGAAGGCTTCAGGAAATGCCAGGTCTGTCACTGGGAATGGAGACATTTTCTTCCCATTGTGTAGAAAGAGACTGATGAGGCCTCTTAAAGCAATTCCACAGACCTACTGTTTTAAAGGATCAGAACATTTTTCAGTGCATCTCAAGATCAGTGGCTCTTTAACCTTTATGGAGAGAAAAGTCCGGTTCTCCCCCACCCACCACCCCCGTGTTGTTACCTCAGGGAGACTTAAAGATGAAGGGAAGCTCTGATTCCAGAAGTCCAGTGTATATAACAGCTCCTCGAATCTTTTCTGAGTCATACTCTGAACCTCAGAAATACAAATCTAGCTCTGCTCAGATGAGCAGTAAGTGTTTTCGGGAAGGTCTCGGGGTCGAAGAGGATGGGAAATGTAATACTTTAAAGGACCGTCTGGGGAGGATGGGAAATTTGAGCCTGGCCTTACATTTTTCAAGGGATGGGGTATCTTATGGACGCGCAGAAAATGTAATTTGCCCCAGCGACCAAGAGAAGGGTTTGATAGTGAATTTACATCCTCAGTGTTGGTTTTAGACTGATCAAGGAAAATGACGGCTCCACACTTGTGAAATCTTAATGGACCCTGAGAAGTGCACAGAGCGGCCTGATGAAGTGTTCAGATTTGTCTTGACCTTATTAACTCTCGGAAAGTGGCTTCTAGGAGGGAAGTTTTTTTCTTTTAATTTCCTGCATAATTACTCAGGTGGCTTTTCCTGTTTCTTCTCTTCCTCCTGGACTGGGTCCTGTAATTACCATCGCAGAGAGCGGGGAGGATGCCCGCGCTGCCGGCGCTCTCCTCCGCTCGGCCTCCTCCCTGTTTTTTCCTTCCTTTCTCTCTTTCTGGCCCCGCCTCCTCCGTGCACCCCGTAGCAGGCAGCTAGACAGCTGGGTTTAATCAGAAACCACTTACAACTCCAGACGACTCGGGAGGGAAACTCCGGCGTGAAGCGCAGCCCCGCGCCGGCTCTCTCCAGCTTTCCCCCCGGGCCGGGGACCCGGTCCGCGGGCTTCCTCGCCCCGCCGCCCCGTCCCCTCGGGAGCCCTCCGCGGTGCCGGATCCTGCTGCGAGGTGCCCTCCAGCCCGGTAATGGGGGGCGGCCGGTCGCCGTAGGAGTGGCGAGGCGGCACCGAGGGGGCAGTGCCCCGGGACCGGCGGGGGGCGCGCGGCGGGTCCCCGCGCCGCTGCCGCAGCTGCGAGCGCGCCACGCCGCCGAGCCTCCTGCAGCAATGGCTCACCCGTGAACCGCCCGCGGCTCGCTTCCTTTAGGAGCGCTCGCATCCTCGGTTCGGGCTTCGCCACCGTGCTTGGCGAGCATGGCTGTCTAGACTGAAGTGTGCCGCCAGAGACTGAGCAGTGGGTACCGAGCCAGTTAAGCCCAACTCGTGAGCCCCGAAACCTGGGGGAGGAGGAGGAAGAGGAGCTCGGCTCTGAAAAGTGCAGTCATGAATTCTGGAGTTGCCCTGAAATATGGAACCGATTCCTCGGCGGAGCTGAGCGAGGTAAGAAACAGCTGAGGCCCAGGGCTCTGGTTTCTTAGGCATTTGCTTTTCGACGACCCCCCGCCCCCGCGCCCAATTCTTCCCCGGCCCTACACCGCACCCCCCTGGTGCTCCCAGTCTGGAGGCAGCGCAATTAAAGATTAATAGATTTTTCTGGATCTTGTTGTAACTTGCACAGCTACTCAGGAAATGACCTGAACTGGCTTGATAATTCAGCCTGAAACGAGTGGCTTAAAAAAGAAACGAGCTCCCACCCCGTCGCCAAGGCGTTTTACCCTCCGTGGTCTGGGTTCTCCGTCCCTTCCTACCCGCTTCCTCCAATTTATGTACAACATTCCTTGCCGTAGTCGGCAAAACACACCGGGACCCCAGCCGAGCTGGGGCCGATTGGCGACTAATTTGGTGGGGCTGGGGAGTTTATTGGATTATTGAGTCTGCCACTTGGCTCCCACGTGTGACGCCTTTGGTTAAGTTCAGGCAAGGTGGGCTCTTCCTGGAGTAGCTGAGTGACCCGCACTGAGTAAGGGAGTTGGGAGGAAGCACATCAAAGCTGCTTAGAACTTTATTTCCTGCCGGGACTGGGTTCCTGAGTCTTTGAGGTAGGAGCATTTGCAATTCCTGGCGCTCACTGTAACATACCCACTGGAGTGTTTGAGACCAGCTTTGAAATTAAAGCTACTTCAAACGGTATGCAAACACATGAGCTGTAAGATGCTCAAAGCCACCTTTTTTGATGACTTTAGGGACGCCTCGGGCACATCCTCTCCAGGCTTTGAATCCCTGAGCCAGGTGATAGGAAACCTATAGAACTGCATGCTCAAAAGAGAGGAGAAAGTGTGTGTGATTGGTGTTCGCAGCGGGAGACTGGGTGGCTATCGGCTTTCCTCTTAAAATCATCGCTGAGCCATTTATGGGGGCAAAAGTAGAAATAAATAGTCTGTGCTTGAGTATGGCTGAAGAGAGGAAAAGGGAAGGAGACCCGTGTAAAAACAGCTGGGAGGCAGAGGTGATGTCAGATCACGAACAGTGAAGGGAAGACAAGGCTGGAGCCCTCCTTGGGCAAAGGGCTGCTGATAGAAGAGAGAGGGGGTAGGCGGAGCCACGGAGGTCTGGGGCTGGCGGCCGGCAGTTGATGCCGTGGCCCCTGCCTAGTGCTCTGTGTCTTGCTGCTCTGCTGTCCCTGTACTGGTCTGTAATATCATTTTGAGGTATGGTGGAAAGAGGTAGCAGCATTTCCTAACGCTCGGGTCTCCCGGTGATGTAGAAGCTAAGAGTGGAAGCCTCACTTAAAAAGAGGAGGGTGCAGAGGGGAGAGGCACGAAGAGCTGAGTGACTTTTGCCAATTTTACATGCAGGGAGAGGTTTCAAATCTAAAATAGAACCTTGGACCCTGATCCCTTACTAATACGCCTTAAGGAAAAGCTTTTGGTTTAACTACTAAGGTCATTCAAACATCAAAAACTAAAGGCATCTGTCTCTTAGAGCCTTTGCCAGGCCTCCGGCATTGTTTATTTGTGTGGCCCCTTTTGCTCTCTGTCACCTGAAGTGTGCTATTCGGTTACCTTTTGTTTAACCATGAATCACAGGTTTTGGACAGGTGGCTGGAATGCCAAGTAGAGAGGTTTGGATTGGCTTTAATAACACCGGCGCTGTCAGTGACTGCATCAGATGAACTGAGCTTATCTCTGAAACTCAGGTGGGAAGTAAAACTCTCTTTTCTGTGCCTAGTTGTATCCACTCCTTAAATAATCCTTAGAAAACCTGTGGTCAAGTGAAAGAGTTGGGGGTGCTCTGTGGCCCCTGATTAGTTGAAGCAATCATATCTGAGCATTATAGAACATAGTTTGTCCCTAAGTACAAATTTGTGCCCCAACCACATCCTTTACCATTTCCGCCCCTTTGCCTCAGTGTCTGCTCATTCATTTCTTGTCTTCTTTTGGGGGTCAGTGATTTAGTTGCCCCTTCATCCCTCCAATCCTAGTTTCCCTGCAGATTGAATAGTTACAATAGACTGTAAGGATAATTATTTTTAGTTTTTGCCCCTGTTTTAAATTAGGGTATGGGTAGAGAGAATTTGTGAGGCGAGGGTGTGTGTGTGGTTCATCTTGTACACCCTAAATCTCAGTTCAGTTTTTCATGGGTGATAGTTGTAGCATTTACCTTTTCTGTAGTATCTATAGATCAGCATCCATAGGGATCCACAGATCTGAAAACAATTTATTTGTATTTCTTACATTAGGTCTTTGGTGCAAAGGAAACTTTCTTCTTTTCACTGTAATTTTTCTCTTAAAAACTGACTTTGCTTTAACAGCTTGGGAGGCAAAGTTGTCATTCTTTTGATGATTGGTTGTTCTTCCTTACCTGGAAGCAGAGCTAATAAAAACCTTCAGGGGCCCTTTTAGTGTCATACCTCTTTTTGCCCAGGAGCTTCAATGCTGTCGGGAGGTCACCATGGGGTCAGATTCAGCCTGATGTTCACCAGCATTTCAGGGACAAGAAGAACTCTGAAGGCCCAGCATTCTCCTGGATATCAAAGGCAAGAGGCCCCCTCACTGGTATCCCTTTTGTAAGCGTCCTCTAGCCACAGGAGTCATGGACTCTGGGACAACAATGTGGACAGTGACTGCAAACATCCTAAACAAGGGGGAGTGACTTGAATCAGTTTCTAGTTGTAGTCTGCTGGTTCTGCTCATGAAAGCAGCAAGCTTTGGTCAACAGGTGAGATGGTGGCCCCTGCCGAGGCCCCAGGAGTGTTTGGGCACAAGAGAAGCAGGAGGAGTTCGGATGTGAGGGACATGTGATTAGGAGGCCTAGAGTTGGGTGTTGGGCATGAGGTATTTTGCACGTGTGAGACCTTTAAGATGTAAAAACAGGAAATTTGTGAATGTGTTCCTTTTGTGTCTTTAGTTTAAACAATAGCTGTTTAAGATCTTGTGAGATGGTTATTGGAGATAGTAAAATTGCCTCTACCTAAGGATATTCAAAACATTTTTATTTATCCATGACCGCAAATGGATTATGTCAAGTCTGAACACTTTAACTAAAGCAAACTGATCCTTAGCATTCACAACAGCAATGCAAAAGGAAAATTTGAGAAGCATGAATTGGTTATTTTTTCTGGGTTATTCACTGTCCCTGTCAAAGATTTAAAGGATGTTTTTCTTTTTCTACTGGGGTTAAGGAAGGACTTCAACAATAGCCAGATCAAAAGTACTTAGGAAATTAAATGTTTGACTTTTCAGCCTCTCTCCCCTACGGTCAAGAAGCTGAGTGGTCACACTTTCAGGAGCCTTAGATTAAATTCTCCCAAATCTGTCAAGGGAAGGCTCTTAAGTCATCTTCCTCATCACTACGGGTCTTTGGTCAGCAGTTAGTTCTGTTTGTTTTGGTAAAACCTGTAGGACGAGTATGAAGTTTAACCTTGTTTCACTATCACAATTACATCTGTTGGTTCTTAGAATCACCCAGACTTTGGGAGGAGAGTGTCTTAGGGTGCAGCAATATCAGGGAACAACTTGAATTTACTCATCTTTACAGAATTGTGATCTTTTGGACCTGCTTATCTGGTAACAGTTACCTATTTATGTAGCAAAATTAAAATTTATCTTTAAGAGTTTGTCCCTGGCAATTGTTTAAACCTTTGAAGATGAAAAAATATTTTTTTACTCAGAGTACTTTGTCTGAAGCAGTCAGCTTATATTCTTTGCCTTTTAAACTTTAAACAATGAACAGATAAAAATTCTTCTGTCATTATTTACTTTGAAACCTTAGTTGCCCTTAGGAATCATAGTTCCCTTACTCTCTCCTTTGCTCTTTATTCAGAGGCTTTTTATTCCATACCTGAATGTAGGCTACAGAGGCAACTCTCCATTTCAGCATCTGTCTGTCAGGGAGCTAATGAAAACCTGCATCTTCATTGATACTCTAAGAAGATTTGTACAGGAGAAAGTTGTTCTCTAGATTTTATCTTTTATGACTATCTCTAAGTGATCATCTTACAGATGTACTTAAAATTTTTTTTAATTTTACAGATTTTACAGACATACTTTTCATCATCAAGTCACAAAATATCAGACTTGAAAGGGCCTGTGAATTCACCTTGTCTTGCCACACCCCTTTATACTTCTTTGTCTTTATAGAGTCATGGTTCATTGTAATGCATTGTTTAAGGTCTGTCTTAAGCACCAGAAGCACGGTGTCACATCGTAGGTGTTCTCCAAAGGTTTGAGTGAGTGAGTGCCTTGCCTCTTCTCTCCCTTCTCTTTTTTTTTTTATAAATACAGAATTTGAGGAACTGATCTAAGTGCTTGCTCTGAAGCTTTTTTGGCTGTCTAGGGCTGTGTAATTGTCCCCAAATTTCAAGGCTTGTAATAGCTAACACATTTTTTTTTATTATTAAGGTATCATTGATATACAATCTTATGAAGGTTTCACATGAGCAACATTGTGGTTACTAGATTCCCCCCAATTATCAAGTCCCCCCCACATACCCCATTACAGTCACTGTCCATCAGCATAGTAAGATGCCATAGAGTCACTACTTGTCTTCTCTGTGCTATATTGCCCCCACCCCCTACATTATGTGTGCTAATCATAATACCCCTTAATCCCCTTCTCCCTCCCTTCCTGCCCACCTTCCTGCCCCCTTTCCTTTTGGTAACTGCTAGTCCCTTCTTGGGGTCTGTGAGTCTGCTATTAGCTAACACTTTTTGAAGTATTTCCTAAGTATTGACATGCTTAATGATCAAAAAATGCTTTGAGATACATTCTGCTCTGACCATATTATAGGTGTAGAAGTTGAGGCATAAAGAAGTAAAAAAACTCACCAAGATTTTAATGCCCAGGTAGCCTTTCTCTAAGTCCACCATATGTACACTGTTTCCTTTCATTGTTTCTGTTACTGCTCTCAGCTTTTGATCTTGTGTTCCTTGGAGGGAGTATTCTATTTAATAAGCCTGTTTAACTTGATTTGTATTACAATCTCTCTGTGATACCCAGGT